CCAAAGGTAGCATTGACCGCGCGTTGCTCCTACAAGTAATGGCCGGCCAGCAATCCTTCAAGCACGAGCTGAAGAAACATACGCCGTATAGGGCGGGCAGGTCGTCTCAGGACGGCCCTGCCTCCCGAGCCAGCGGGGAAACCCGCGGGCAGGTGCGCTTTAGCAGCGAGGAAACTCGCCGGTAGCGAGGCTACTCGCGCGCCCTTTCCTTGTAGGCAGCCGCTGCTGCTTAGCACTGTTTTTTCCGCATAATAGAAGTGCGGTACCTGCTCGTCTCCTCCCCCTCCGACTTTAAACGGAGAAGGTTAAAGGCGAGGTATAAATCGAGCATGTACCGCTGCCGTGCCTGGCTCAAGCCGGGCCCGGCCTGATATGTGACTGTGCCTCACCGAGGCGCACTACTTGCATCTGAGATCGGAAAACATCCTTTCCATTGACGATGCCCATCTTACTCTATACTCCAGATCCCATGCTTCGTCTCGCTCTCTTGCTCATGCGATATGAGCCAAAGCCTGGGATATGGCAACGCCTAAGGCGTAACACATACCTAAGCTTACCAGCTTGTTTTCGACTGCTTGGGCCGTCTTGGGGCCGTCTTGGGCCGTCTTGGAGCCGTCTTGGAAGCCGTCTTGGGGCGGTCTTGCATGCCTTTTGGGTTGTCTTGGAGCGTCGGGAAGCCGAAAGGGCGGGAACGCTAAAATGTTTGAACTACTTCAGGAAAACATATGATTGGAGCGTTTTGGGGGCCGCTTGGGCCGTCTTGGCCTCTCGGGGGCGTCCTTGGGAGGTTCCGCGGCCACTTGGAGCCGTCTTGGGGCGGTCTTGGAGCCTCTTGGGGCTCTCTTGGGCCGCCGTCTTGGGGCCCTCTTGGGCCGTATTGGCCGCCGCTTGGGCCGTCTTGGGGCCCTCTTGGGCCGTCTTGGAGCCGTCTTGGAAGCCTCTTGGGCCGTCTTGGGGCGGTCTTGCATGCCTTTTGGGCTGTCTTGGAGCGTCGGGAAGCCGAAAGGGCGGGAACGCTTAAATGTTTGAAACGCCCACGGGAAATCAATGGTTTTGGCTTCTTGGGGCCCTCTTACGGCGCCTCTCGGGGCTCTCTTGGAGCGTTTTGGGGACCTTAGGCCGTCTTAGCTTCTCGGGGGCGTCCTCGGGAGGCTCCGCGGCCACTTGGAGCCGTGTTGTGGCGGTCTTGGAGCCGCTTGGGGCTCTCTTGGGCCGCTCTTGGGCGCCACTGGGGCGCTCTTGGGGCCGTCTTGGGGCCCTCTTGGGCTGTACTGGCCGCCGCTTGGGCCGTCTTGGGGCCGTCTTGGGCCGTCTTGGAGCCGTCTTGGGAGCCGTCTTGGGGGTCTTGGGAGCGCTCTTGGGGCCATCTTCGAGGAGATCGGTCAAAGAAGACGAAAGCACTTTCCCCCCCCTGGGGCCACGATCCCTGTGAGTGGTGTCAAAAAATGAGGGGACCGACAAAAGACGCCCCGGCGACCCGCGGCCCCCCTTCTCCAGGCCCAGGGGGAGGGGGTAGGGGGAGGGGTCAAGCTACCCCCTCCCCGCCCGCAAGCCGTCTCGCTCACTCCCACCCGCCCTCCCAACACATACGTAGCACCCGAGTCTGGCCCGAGCCTGAGCATATTCAGCAGTCGTCTTTGGTTGGGCAGCTCCTGGGGGCCAATCCGCCGCCGCCTCCGCCCCCGCCGCCGCCGTCGCCGCCGCCGCCGCCGCCGCTGCCCGCCGCCGCCGCCGCCGCCGCCGCCGCGCCGCCGCCGCCCGCCGCCGCCGCCGCCCGCCGCCGCCGCCGCCGCCGCCGCCGCCGCCCGCCGCCGCCTCCGCCACCGCCGCTGCCGCGCCCCCGCTGCCAAACCGCCGCCGCCGCTGCAGCCGCTGCCGCACCGCCACCGCTGCCGCCGCCGCCGCCGCCGCCCCCGCCGCCGCCGCCGCCGCCGCAGCCGCCGCAGCCGCCGCCACCGCCGCCGCAGCCGCCGCCGCCGCCGCCAATTGTACTCTGTATTGTTTTTTTTGACAGGGATGGTATGGGGGGGGGGGCCGCATCGGGTTGGCTGCGCATCTTCCGAATTTGGAGGCAGAGTGTGTTTTGCATTGTTTTTTTACAAGGGATGGGTGGGTGGGGGGGGTGGCATGGACCTTGGTTGGCCCCCAGTCGCCTGGGGGAGGGGGTGTTTATTGATAGGGAACAGTGATAAACCCCTCCCCGAAGGGGAAGAAGGGGGTTGAGAACACAGAGGACTATCTAAACCACTCACGCCCTAAAGGGCTGGTGGGATCCCCAAGAAATCCGCAAGGTCCCAACCTTCCATGACACGCTGCGAAACGGGCCTCTCGCGCGCTCATGTCGGAGTTGCTCGAACGCCCTCGCGCGCGTGCTGTCGCGGGAATCCCGGGCGCAAGGCGGGGCGAAATGCGCGCGCGCGCGTCGTCGCGGGCGCGCGCCGGAATCCTTCGAAACATCTGTTCGTAGGTATTTTTTGAAAATGAGTCCCCCCCAGCGCGTTAAACACGTGGTTTTGCGACGTCCGTTCTCCGAAAAAGAACAGCGCCCGCGCTCCTGCGAACATTCGGAACATCCATAGGTTGGGCAAAATGTTCATTCAATGCTACTACATGGGTTTTTTGCGCGCCCGTGTCGAAATCGTTCGAACGCCCTCGCGCGCGCGCTGTCGCAATGATCCAATGCGAGAAGAGATGGGCGAACTGCGCGCGCGCTTTTGAAAGCAAGTGCCCCGCGCTCTTGCGACTTTTCAAGAAAACCATGGGTCTTCAATTTTTCAATCAATTCGGCCATGCGGGCCTTCCGCTTCGCGTGTCGAGCTCATTCGAATGCCCTTGCGCGCGTGCTGGGGGGCGCGATCCGTTTCGAAAAAACCATGCGGGCTATTCTCGCGCGTCGGCCGCGCGCGCGCGTGTCGACCCCTTCCAAACCTTCATCGCCGACGCGATGGCGCCGTCATCGTCGTCGGCGTCATTGGCATCGGCGCCGCCGTTGGCCTTGCCGTCGCAGTTTTCATCCAGCGTCGCCAGCGTCGCCACTGCCATCATCGCGTTTACCGTTGTCGACGTCTCCGTGATGCCGCGCCCGCCGAAGTCGCCAACTCGCACCGAGGTGCCAGCCGGGAAGTGCCCGGGGGTTAGCGCCGCCGCGGCCGCGTCGGTCGCGAGGAGCTAGCTGGCCGCTGGGCGCGCGAGCATGAGCGGACTAACGCGGCTGGAGAGATTCACCAGCCACCGCCAAGCACTCATCGCAATCACCGGCGCACGTGTTTTGCAAACCAAGTTCTGGGGCGTGTGGGCGGGATGATCGCGCGAGCAGGGGAGATACAAATTGCGAGTTCCACGACACTGCACGCCGCATATCCCCCCTCAGAAAGGGAATCCCGCCGCCCTCCCGAGGCCATGCCCCCCTTTTGTGGATGTGCAGTTTATATATGCTTATGTGCCATCTCTCGTTCTAAACACAAAATCATAAATCCCAGCCGGCTTTTTTTTTCGATCAATAACCATTTGTTTGCAAAAAAGCCCATTGCAACATACGGGTCGAAGTGCGCGCGCGCACGTCGTCGCGCGCGCCGAAATCGCTGAGAAGCCTGAGGCCTGAAAAGGACTTGAACATCGAGTGGTCGAAACACATGAAATGCAAGGTTTTGCAATGCAGCACCACTTTTGAAAACAGGGGCTGCGCGCGCGCGATCTTGCGAATTGTTGAGAAAGCATCGGTTCTCCTAAATGCTCATCACCTGCGATTAAGCGGGCCTTTTCGCGAGCGCATGTCCAACACTTTCTTCGCCGTTGCGTGTAAGCTGGACGGGGGGACGATCCCACTCAACAGATACATGGGGGCCACTCGCGCCCGTCGGCCGCGCGCGCATGTCGAAATCTTTCCAAAGCCTTCGTTGCCGACGCGTGGACACCATCATCGTCATTGGCGTGGTCAAAATCGGCGGCGTCACCTGCCATCTTCGTCGCCAACATCGCTGCAATCATCATCGCGTCTGCGGTTGTCGACGTCGCAATGATACCGCGCCCGTTCGAAGCAACGACTCGAACTGAAGTGCCCGCGCGTGTGGGACGCGCTGCGAAGTCCCCAGCGGTCAACGCCACCGCGGCCGCGTTGGTCGCGCCAGACAGGCAGGCCGGTTTGCGCGCGAGCATGCGCGCGCGAACGCGTCCGCAGCGATGCGCCAGACTGCGCCAGGCAATCATCACAACTGCAAGCCAAGTTGCAAACCAAGTTGCGTGTGGAGTAACGCAGTAGTTCGCATTGGCTAAATCCACCACGCACGTTGCAACATTTGCACCACATGGTCTGCACACTGTTCATTGAACGGGACTGGCTGCAACACAATCGTTGCACAACACGCATAACATCATGTATTGTGCGTAAGATGTATTGCGCCATAGCGGCTACACGACATACTTCGTGCAACAAACATTGTAGATGCGCATTGTTTTTGGTCCGCGCTTGACAACACATATGTGTCATCAGTTGTGTGTCTAACAATATATACACATACCAATGCATATGTATACATGCTTGGCTGTGTGTGTTGGCGTATGTCCATGTGTATAAGCCAGTGTAGATCCACACATACGTAGGTCGATACACACAAGTACCTTCGACTGTATATACATCTATGGACGCGCGTGGTCCATACATGTTCGTACACGTCGTACACATACGTATATTGCAGTCGTGTTGTCATACCGTCAAACATGTTGTATTTACGGTTCGGGATCGGTATATATGTAGATGTGCATATATGATCGTGTTGTGAGTTGGGCATCCAAAGCACATCGAATATGATATACATTCCCTCAACTTACTTATTGCCCTCAGGGCGGTTTTACATATTCCCCCTTTGCCATCATTCCTTGCCGTTGCGCTCGCCTTTCGTCTTTCGATACTTCCCTCTTTGCCTCCATGCCTACCTCCTTGCTTTCCGTTCTTGCGTTTATCTGCATGCTTCATTTCATATCATTTCCACCCCGCTGCGCAGGCGCAACAGTCTCTGCCCCAGCCACTGCCTAACGCGACGGCCGAGGGTCACAGATCCGAGGCCAGCTCTGTGAAGCCTCTCTCTTCCACGGTATAGCATGATGGGCAGTGTCAGCATCACCATCGGTGCACTCAGTGCCACCATTGACACATCGAGCGTCAACGTTGGCGCTGCCAGTGCAAAACTTGCGATTTTAGGTTTCCACTGTGCTCTTGGGTTCAGCCTGGAAACACGTCGCGATGCCCCCGATTACTGTTGCGCTGTAGTTGACATTGTTCAAGTGGTGGACTTCTTGGCTTCGGCTGTCTCGAAACAGGACGGCCAAATCTGAGCCCGTGTCGGTGCCATGCTGGCTCCTTAGGGGTCTGTTCCAAACAACTCTGAGTCAACGGTTCTATGATTAAGAAGGCCTTGAGGCCAGTGCCGCCAAGGCTCCGGGATGTTTCAAAGAGGCTAATGAAAAGGCTCCCAAGAGGGTTCTGAGCTTGCTTCCAGAGGGCCTCATGACGCTATCTTCGGGCTTCTGGGCGCCATCTAGACTAGGATCAGTCAGTCGGGTCCTCCTCCTCGTCCTCCTCCTTCTCCTCCTCTTGTGGTGGTTCTTGCACATGGGTACTCCTGTGAACCGATTCTGGGCCACGCGAATTTGTGCCTCTTCCGCAGTCCAGGGTGTTTGTTTCGGGCCTGGCAGGTTGTGTGAGTTTGCGTACGCTCGGCTGTTAGAAGGCTGATCCTCGAGGCGTCGTTCGGCTGGTGCTTCGCGTGTTCCCTGTCCTTCCCTTTCCCTCCCTCTCCCAAAATGTTGCGCTGGAGAGGAATAGACCAGGATCAGGCAGCATCGAACCCGCAAATCGGTTCGCATCGATGTGTGCATCGGATCGGGCTGCACGGGCGGAACCGAGATCGCACCGGCTCGGCTGCGCCAGGATCCACAAACAGCACCTAATGCAAACGCCGGGCTGCACCGGATCGTTGGAATATCCGAAGCGGATCTGATCCGGCCAGCCGAGAGTGATGTTGAAGCGGATCGATCGGAGCGAAATGGTTTCTGATCTTGACTGCCCCCTGTGAGCGGGGGTCGGCACATCTCACTCGCCCCGAGCCTGCTCTCGCGCGTGGGGCGAGGCGAAGGAGGAGGGGCTGGGGGAGACACGGAGGAGGAACAGGAGGAGAGGGTGGAGGGAGGTGGGAGCAGGAGGAGGAGGAGGAGCAGGAGGAGGAGGAGGAGGAGGAGATCCGTTTTGTAGATCTACGGACGTTCTGCGCCTCTCTCATGGACCTGACGAGACAATCCTTCTGTGGGTCAAGCAATCCTGTCGTCGATGCCCTGCTCGAGCCGCGGGCGCGCCCGCGCCCCCGCGCGCCGCGCCGACCCACCGGGGGCGCGAGGGGCCACCGAGGGCCCCCGCGGAGCGGCAGCGCAGGAGGGCCCGCCGAGGGGCCCCCGCGGCCCGCCCGGCGAGGCCCCGCGGGGCCGAGGAGGCCCCGCCGGAGCCGAGGGCGAGCAGCCCGCCCCGGGGAGCCCGGAGGGCGTCGGGGGGGAACGCAAAATGACTTGTAAGCACCGGGGGGTCTGGGACGGTCGCGCACTTTATGGCAGGTTACCAGCTCGGTCTCCTCTCCCTGTGGTCAAGTCGGGCCCGTCCCTCTGCAGGGGGAATATCCCAAAATAGTACAGACAAATAATCTGGGGGCTGTTTTTTTTGTGTTTTGTCGTGAACCCCTCTGTAGGGGGACGCGCCCATTTCTTTTCTATTACCCTTTCGGAGTCTTTTTTGCGTATCTTTTTTTTTCGTCGTAAATCCCTCTCCCTGTGGCCGCTCATGGGGGAACGCAACATGACACGAGCATAAAGACTCGGAGGTCCGCGCGGATTTCTCGGATCGGCGCTGGGGCCCTCCGGCGGCCCCTCCGGCGCCGCCCCTGGCGCGCTCCGCGCGCCAGGAAGGGGGGGGTCCAGCGCCGATCCGAGAAATCCGCGCGGACCTCAAAGTTTTTATGTTTATGTGACTTTTTTTGTTCCCCTACTGTGGCCGCTCAGGCCTGGAGCCCTCGACAAGCCTGAGCCTGTAGAGTGCTCCACCTCGAGGTTCCAGGGGGCCTCGAGCCGGTGCAGCTCCGAGTCGCCGAACTCGAGGCCTGGTCCTCCATCCTCGCCACCTGCTTCGGCTCCTGCGGCTGCGGGTCGACCAGGCGACCTCCAGGTTGGGCCTCATTCTCGTCCTTCTTCTGCTGCCGATCCGTGCCGACGGTCTGCTTCGTGAAGCTGCGGACCCTCTCGAACGCGTCGTCGTCGTCCAGCAGGCCAAGCTTCTGGAGCTGCGCTGCGCACGTGCCAAGTTGCGCCACCAGCAGCTCGCTGTCAAGCGAGATGTATTCCACGTTCTGCCCGCACACGTTGTCCATCCCCGTCTCCCAGGGGAGCTTCGCCACGAAGTTCGCTGCCTTGACGTCCTCGTAATGCAGCGACGTGAGGATGTCCAGCCCCTCGATCTTGAGCTTGCTGAGGCCATTATTCCCTTTCTTCGCTGCCGTAATGTTGATCACCTTGCAAGGGTGGCCCTTGATCATGACCATGTCGCTGATCTTGAGTTCACCCCACTTCTTGCCCGTCGCATCTGCAGTCACGGCCTCCGCGAGCGCCTCGTACGCGTGCTCGATGCTGGCCGTGATGCTCTTGTCTGCGTCGCTGTCCTTGCCAATGCTGTAGAACTCCGTGCCAGACCCTTGGCCACGTTCGTCCACAGGATGGAGCAGGAACTTCACCTTCTTAATCTCGCTATGGTCGCAGCTGTCACCTGCTACCGCGCCCACGGTGCCGACGGAAACCGCGAAGCTGGCTTCCTGACCCCTCGTTCCTTCTCCTGCGGCTGCGGCGACTCCTCCTTGATTTGTCCTTCTTGTCCTTCTTGTCCTTCTTGTTCTTCTTGTGGTGCTTGCTGACCTCCGAGCTTGTCGAAGCTGTCCTCCGACGCCTCCGAGATCGCGAGCGCTTCCTGTCCTCGGCCGCCCCCTCCGCCATCACCGGCTGCGACCGCTGCAGGCTGTGATGGTGCGCGTCCAGCTCGCGCACCTCCTGCCGAGTCACTTCCTCCTCCGCCAGGATCACCTGCGGTCTGGCCCCACGCCACACCTGCGGCGCCTGCGGCTCCCCCCAGTACCCCGGCGGCGGCTCCTGGACCACCTCCGTGAGGACGGGGAAGATGGCTGGCTTGATGGGCATCGCCTTCGGCAACGGCGCCCTCAGCCATGAGGTTCCTCTCCTCCTTGGCGGTGTGGTTGTGGCCCTCGTCCCCATACATAACTCAGCACCACCTTGACCTCCAGCTCGTCGATGTCTTTCACCTCCTGCGTGAAGCGCTGCGCCAGGCCTGCGAGCGCCTGCTGTGCGCCCTTGCACTCCAGCAGTGCTGAGGGCAGGAGGAGCCCAAGGAGCATCAGGCGACCGCCATCCGCTCCCGCGCGCTGCGCCGCTTTCAATCGCGCGCGCGGCACCCCAGGCCCCCGCCTGCGGGGAAACGGCTAGGAGGAGGAGGAGGAAGAGGAGACGGATGATGATGATTATGATGATGATGATGATGATGATGATGATGATGAGGAGGAGGAGGAGGAGGAGGAGGAGGAGGAGGAGGAGGAGACGGGCGAACCGAAGATGGCATGTGGTCGTTTTCTGGACTTCTGTGGGACTATCCTCGGTGTTTCTGGTAGGCCGTGCGGGAACCTTCGTTTTCGGAATCGTTGTAGAGTTCTCTTGACCCCCTCATGGGGCTCTCTTGCACAATCTGTTGTTTGCGTTGGAACCTCGGAGACACGTCGGGGAACAAACACGCTTGCTAAGTTTTGGAAGGGCTTTGGCCTCACGGGGCCCTTGTCGAGGACATTCGGAAGCCTTCTGGGAGCCTTAGGCGCCTCTTGGGGCCTCGTTGGGCCTCTTGGGGCCTCTTGGGTGCTTCTTGGGGGCTCCTTGGGTGCTTCTTGGGGCTTCCTGGAGGCCTCGTGAGGCAGAGAGCTAGAAATGTCGGTTCGTGTTCCCTTGCTTGGGCATCTCTTGGGGCCCATGGGCCGTCTTGAGCAACTGTTCGGCCGACTTGGCTCCTCTGTCTCTGTTTTGGAGGCTTCTCGTGAGCCTCTTGGGTCATCTTGGGGCGATCTTGGGGGCCTTGTGGGCCGTCTTGAAGCGTGGGCAGCCCGACAAGGCGAAACCGGCAACATCTTTGAGTCAAGTATCGGAGATACACGCTCTTCTCTTCGGGGGGCTCTCTGGGGAAGCTCTGGGAGTAATCTTTGGGCGGCTTGGCTTGTTCTGGTTTGTCTATGTCGAAGGCGCGGAGGGTGTGTTGGAGCGATCCTGGCTCGTCGAGGGGGCTCGTGGTTCGTCTTGGGCGTAAGTCGGCGAAAGAAGGCCGAACTGTCCCGCAGACGACCCGGGGACCGCCGAGTTCACTCGGCGGGGGGGCCTGGCGGGGCAGTGATCCAAGGGAAGAGGCTGCCCTTTGCCTCGAAGAAGAAAAATCTGTATTTGGCGCTCCGCGCGGATTTCTTGGATCCGCGCTGGGCCCCCCCCTGGCGGCACCTCTGGCGCCGCCCCTGGCGCGCTCCGCGCGCTAGGGAGGGGGTCCAGCGCCGATCCGAGATATCCGCGCGGATCGCCAAAAGTTTATGTTTATAGCGTTTTCTTTTCTTCTATTATCGATGATTCCGACATTGCCCGATTTGTATCGAACTGGCGTGCATAAGGAGGAGGCCCGAAGATGATTGCAGATAAGAACGATCTGAACGGGAAAGCCTCTCACACACGCCCACAGGGTCGGCGGATTTGGGAAGCCTGGGGCTCCTGTGGGCGTTCGCGCGCGCGGTCACGCTAGCAATGCACATTATTGATGATTACGCGTAGGATAGTATCCATTGAAGCCAAGTTGCCGATGCTCTACCGGGCCGGCGAGTGCTAGTGCTATTTTTGGTTCCGACGACAGAACCTGGAGTGCCCCCCCCCCCGCAGTGATTCAGGTCGGTGGCGTTACGTTGACGACGTCGTTTGTGCCGATGTCGTTGGCATGCGT